TATAAATTTTTTTTTGAAAAAAATGTGGAATGCATGGGCAAAAGAAAAACTAGTTTCTTAATTTTTTTTATTACTTTATTAAATATCATGTAACATTTAATATATTTATTAATATAATTATAACAGTAAAAATTTTGTTAATAGTTTAAAAAATAATGTGTACATATATAAAGTGTGGAAGGGGCATATGTATTGGCATGAGAAAGGTGTATATATAAAGGGTGGTGGAGCTACTAGTCAAAAATAATTTTTTAGCAACATATTTCTTGCCGGTGATAGCAACTACCGGTCAATAAATAATAGCAAGATGAGGTATATTACTGATATTAATATCAGCAACATGGTATATGTTGCTAATGATATAGTCCACTAGAAAATTTCAGTAACATGGTTCTTGTTGTTGAAAGTAATTTTAGCAACAAGAACCATGTTGCTAAAAGTGAACAACACTTTTTGGGCTGAATGTGTACTGTTTAAATATCAGTAATATGGGTCTTGTCGGTAAAAAACCATATCACCGATATGCTCTATGTTGCTGATTAATTTATGGAATTAGTAAAACACCCGGTCATGAATAGTAACCAGAAAATTTTAGCAACATGGTTTTTGTTGCTGAAAATCACTTTCAATAACAAGAATCAGGTTACTGAAAGTGAAAAACACTTTTTGATAAAAAGTGTACTATTTAAGTATCAACAATATGGGCTTTGTCGGTGAAAATTCATATCATCGACAAGCGGATCCATGTTGCTGATACTTAGTTGTTGAAAAAGAAAATTTTAGTAGTGATTTAGTTTGGCTGATATGGACATTGAGAGTTCAATTTTAATCATTTACGTTAAAATTAGTTATCTCCTAAATTTCCCCCAAAAAAAAAAAAAAAACTTGCAAGTGATTTTGCATGGAATGTTTGGTGTAGGGAGAGGAGAAATTTAGAGAGTGGTTTGGAATTAATGAACAGACGTTTAAAAACTATAAGATAATGCAAGCGAGACAAGGAGAGATCAGGACACGCTTCTTGATGCAAAAACAAATTAAAGATGGGTTGTCCGAGTCTTCTATCTATATATAGGCACTTGGGTCATCTCCATCCTTCAATCGTTGGAGAAAGACGGCGGCTACTAGAGTCGACTTTCAGTTCCATGTTCCACGACCACATCTAAATTTGGTGGAAATATATATGTTTCCTGTGTGAGAGAGTGTTCTTTGTGTGTGTGTGTAGTTATAACGTTGCGAGATCTGTTCCTGTCTTGCCGCATTTGTGCCATGTCGTCTAGCACGGTAATTAGTCCAGCACCAAGCAGGCAGGACAAGGCGATGCCCACCCCTAACCAAAAAGTTTAAAACTAATCCCAAAGAAAACAAGCTTGTTTCCAAACCTTGAGAGCAATTTGACGTATTCTATGAACAGGGGGGAGGGGGTGGGGGAGAGATGAGAGAGGGCGCTTGCCTCCTGACTTTTGAAAAGCTTTCAAATAGCGTCCTCAATTCTTGAAAAAAAAATCTAATGACACTCTAGACTTTTATTTTTGGCTTTTCAATTTTCTTTGATAACTTTTCTAATGGAATGGATTTTTTATTCATATCTTTAACAATTAATATGAATATATATGGAAAAAGTGTGAATTAATTTCGACTCTCATAAAAAAAAAAAAATTAGAGTTTTAACTTAAAAAATACCACTCTCCAATGAATATTGTTAAATACTAACTATTAAATTTAATGTTTCATTAATATAGATGATACACGTCAATTTTCAAGTTGATTTAATATCTATAATTATTCGATAAAAAAACTAGTATTTTTTAATATATATTTATTAGTAGTAAATTTTTATAATCAATAAATTAATTATATATAATCAATCTAAAAATTGATATGTATGATTTACATGAATAAAATACTAAATCTAGCAATTGGTTTTTGAAAATATTTATTAGAAGATGGCAATTTTGAAGTTGGGACTTTACATTTTTTTAGAGTCAAGACTCATGATATGGACTATTCTTTATATACAGACATACATATATATATATATATGTAAAATAAATTAATATTTATTTGTCTTATCTCTCAAATATTAGAAGGAAAATTATCCTAAAACTACTACATTGTTTCAATAAAACACCACAAAAACCAAAATTAATCTAATTTATACTTTAAAAATAAGGTATTCTAATATTTTTCAATTTGAATTTATTAAAAGGATATAGTTTTGAAATAATTTTTCTTAATTTTAAAGAGATAAGGTAGATGAGCACTCTTTCTTACATATATAAATTTGGGAAGAGCTACTATGAAGGTTCAAATATGAGGTTTGACCTAACTGCTTGGTTAATTAAAATTATCTACTTGACAATGGTGTTAAAATAAAGATTAATTCTTATTTTTATGTAGATTAATTACAAAATAATGCATGTATTGCACTCTTAAACAAAGGCTAGAGAAATTCTTTTAGTTTTCTTACTTTTTTCTTTCTTAGTTTTTTTAGTTTGTGCTCAAGTTAGGGATGTAATAAATATATTATTTTGCAATTAATTTGTATGAAAAATGTAAATCTTGACTTTGATTTAATTAATTGGTCAATTAAGTTCCTTGATGTGGCAATGTGGTTAAAATAAATGACTACCTTTATAGTTTTTATGTAAATTAATTATAAAATAATACATTTATTGTACCGTTAAAATACAAGTTAAACAAACTCTTTCTTTATCTTTGTTTTGGGATCAATAATTGATATTACAAGACCAAATAAGCTCTTTCTTTTCTCCATAGCCACCGCCTTCTCTTTTTCTTCTTTTCTCCCTAACCACCACCTCTCTCCCCTTCAGTGGCTAGGGAGGATGAATAAAAATGTGAGTTTCTCTCTTTTTTGTGGGAGTTTCTCCCCTTTTATGGGGGGTTTTTGCTTGGGCTCTCTTAGTGATTTTTATCGGGTTTTGCCCTAGATTGAAGAGAATGACAACATGGTGATGACTCTCTTTTGGATTAATTCAAGCATGTCTTGGGTGGTCCTTAAAAAAGACTTCAACTCTCCTCCAGGTTAGTATAGATCCTTAGTTGATATTCAAAGGATGGCACTATTGTTTGACGGATTGCTTGCTCTCCCCAAAGCTTGACGTGGCAATTGTGAAAGTCTAGCAGCTTCTAACAAGCACCGGGCTTTCTTTTTACTTTTGTAGCACCACACATATCAGTAGAGTGATTGCCAAAGTAATTTTTAGAATAAGTGATTCTCTATACTTAATTGTTTTTATTCATTATTAGCATAGTTTTCATCTATATTTAGTGTTATAAATTATAACTTCAACTTGGCTTTAGATGCTTTATATAGGGATTCATACGTAATCTCTTTTCCATTAATAGAATATCTCTATTTTGTTAGAATAGAAAAAAAAAAGTAAGAAAAATGATGGAAAAGAAAGATAGCTATGTATTTTATAAAGATTACGGTCACTATATATGTATAAGCGACCTTAGTACATCTGACAAAATACTACTCTCATTACAGTAAGATACATGGCCACTAGAAGAGACTCATTCACTTGCATTTTATACATGCATTTTATTAATTTCTCCTTTCATTATTATATTTTCTTCTGCTGAAAATCTTTAACTTTCTCCCCCAGTTTCTCACTAGATCCTGCAAATGCATAAAAATGTTCACTAATTAATTAGTTTGAGAAAATAAAACGAGAAATCGTTATTATTTCAATATATAGTTATGACTTATTAATAGCTTAAATATGTACTCTGAGCAGTTGGTGCTGGCGCTGATGGAGACGGGAAGGTTGACTCCACACTCGGCGGGGAGTTTAGCTGCAAGGGTGGCGTCGACACCAGAGATGGAGTCGGTGGCGCTTTTCAAGCAGTTGCATACGGTTTGGCGGTCGGTGCTGGTCATAGCAGCTGCGTTGAGAGACCTGATGCCAGTGCAGCAGGCTGGAGGCAGAGTACCGTAGCCTCTAACGTAGTTTATGCATTGGCCGAGGTAGGTTGAGACCTGATCGCAGGTTATGGCCTGAGCTAGGGCTGCGCTCAGGGTCATGTAGAGAACTACAACGCATGCTAGCTTGAGAGTTAGAGAGGAAGCCATGGCGGATGCAATCGTGGGAAATGTAGGAACTATTGAAACAATTTTAGGAGTAGAAGAGGGAAGCTGAGTTCTTCTGATTGATAGTACGAGGAACGAGTTTGGAAGGCTTATATAGGGAAAATTTAGTGTCTGAAATTTAATACTACAATTGGGTATCCGTACGTGGCTGAAATTTATTGCTCGGTTTCCTAGTTTCTTTCTGCTTAGCAGGATTGTTTAGACAACTGAAAATATATAATTATAATATTTTTTAATATTATAATTATATAATATAATATATTATTATATAATTATTTTTATTTAATTTATTTATAACATTATATGTATTTATTTATTTAATATTATATTATTAAGATACAGGTAATACAGAGTATTTATTTGACAAATAAAGCCCTAACAGCACC